ATAGGCCTTCGGGCTTTTACTGGAGCCTCAGTCTCGGGCCGACTTCCAGACTGAGCTGGGTGTTGTTAAGATGGGGCTGATGTTTCGGGGAGTGCAGAGCTTTCTTTCTTGTCCATAGCTGCACTGTTCCTGTTGTGATCTCCGCCACCTCCACTGTTGTTGTTTTTGTTGTTGATGATGGTGGTGTGGTATTGTAGTTAAAATGGTAGGAGGTCGATTTTAAATGAGTGGCTTTCGGAGGAGCTGGAGCGGACCTGTTTCTTCAGAAAACGAAGATAAGGGAGTAGTTCGAGCTAGGCTACTTATAGTGAGTTTGGATTAATCTGATTGGCTAACTAATGAATGTAGATAGGTGGCCAGCTGTAGTTAATCATATCACATGCTCCTCTCGAAATTAGTTTGTAATACTTCACTTAATTTTATGTCCAAAAATAGTTTATGTATAAGTCAAAAACCTTGCAAAAATGCAACATATTTATCTTAACATTGTCAAACATCATAAAATCATTCATTAATTTATTTTCTAGTCAGCTTAGTCCCTTTATTAATCCGGGGTCGCCACAGCGGAATGAACCGCCGGCTTATCCAGCAAGTTTTTTCGCAGCGGATGCCCTTCCAGCTGCAACCCATCCCTGGGAATGATCCACACACACACACATTACGGACAATTTAGCCAACCGATTTGGCCAGAATGTACACAACATAACTTAATAACATAACATAATCTACTACTGTAATACCATTTAGAAAAGCTAGTGAATCAATGTTTTGTTTTATAATTAAGATTAAGTTAGATAAACAACTTGTAGTCGTATGATCAGAGCGGGCGGAGCCGGGGTGTCACAGAGTCTGCGACACAAGCTCGCCTCGCCCCGTCATATTTAATTAATTATTTCACTGTAATAATAATAATTATAGCTTATTTATTGGTTGTTGTGAAAAAGCAAAACTATTTATTTTTCTCCATAACAACCTGTGCCCTTTATGTTCTCTTATAATAAATCAACGACAACAAGAATTAGCGTGAGGTTTTAGGCTATAAATAATAGGTGCAACCGCATAAATAAATCTTCATATAGGCTACTCAGCTACATGTAAGAAATTATTTAAAAAATAAACTTACAAAGGACAATTAGAAATGTCACCTTACAGACAGATATCCTGTGATGGTAAAGGAGCGCTCCCTGATCTTCCTCTAATTTACATCAGAGGAGACTTGTACCCCGCTGCATTTGTGTTTTGTTGACAGACTCAGGATTCTGGTCTTTTTTTGTAGCGTTTTTATACATTTTTGTGAAGTTGAAGGCTTCATCTTCTATCGCTAAATCAATGAGCAAATTCGGAGCACTTTACCGGTGGTGACTCTCTTCCCAGGGAATGTGAAGCTTGCGCATCACACTTTGTAAAGAAACTGGTGGTTTTGTGAAAAAATACATTTTGCACTTGGCCTAAAATGTACATTTTTAAGTGTTGTTAATGGCAGCAATTCACACATAGATTAAGGTACATCTGAACAGTGATTTCCAATGATAAAATACAAATGTCAAAAAATGACGTTTATCGCGTTTTGCAACCAAACTCTTCATATATATATATATATATATATATATATATATATATATATATATATATATATATATATATATATATATATATATATATATATATATATATATATATATAACATCTGCAGAAATCACAGTTTAGCTAAACAAAATTTTCAATTTCAAGTCTATTTAGAGATAGTGAATATCTGTTTCACAGAAATTGATAATATACATCATATTTAAATATTTAAAGTAATATGACATTACTTTAATGTTAAATTATTTTTTTGAACAACAAATACAAACCTCATTTTACAATCACAAATAAATGTTGTTTTTAATGCACTTAATAATGCATTATTATAATTAGGGATGCACCGATATGGATTTTTTGGCCGATACCGATAACTGATAATTCTTCAGACTTGGAGGCCGATATATATAGGCCGATAATTATAAATATTTCAAAATGTTATATTTTTATACTGCAAACTTCATAAAAGTTGAAACTCAGCTCTTTTGAACTGAATAGTCTATACTCAAAGCAAAAAAGCTATGATTTCAAAATTGCAAGGTGATTATATAGACCTATTTTCACGATTTTAAGTCAGCATGCAAAAAATACATTATTTCATTTTCTTCATAGCAAATGAACATACAACTTGACTTGCATAAAATTAAAAAGGTTAAATAAAAAAATGGGATTTAATCAACAAGCAAGTTAAATATATTTTAAACAAAATGAAAATAAAAGAGCTAAGGACTAAATCCAGCTCATATGTTCTTGAATAAAACGGGTTACAGTAATGTACATGTGTACAAATATGTCATGTCCGAAAAAGCCTTTTTTTTTTAGGTGATTTGACAGTTCACAGCCACCGTACAAGTGAAAAGCTAGATACAGAATGTATTATTTTAGAAAATGCGGCATAAATTCATCCTATTTGGCGTTTAGATTTTTTTGAACACCTAGCATCAACGCTTCTGTTTTCGTTCTTGCTGTCAATCGCGGGAAAATGACCAATGAAAAGTTTATGATAAACCGCTGTGAGGGGGCAGATTTGCCCTCAGAGTCAGATTTTAATACAAACCTGAACATTGAGCTCAGATGACTTTATGACAAACAGAGCAGAATATAAAGACAGAATGTGTGGCCCGTATGCTGGCTTCAGTAACCGGTGAACCTCGCCTGCTGATCTGTGAAGGCTCAAGGCTGCCAGATCTATGTGTGCGCGCATGGTGACAGCTCTCGCGCGCGCTCGTTATAATCAATATGAATATTTCGATTAAACTAAATACAATCTTACATCAACAACACATGACAAGCAAAGCGTTAATAATAACAAATAATCATATTAGATCACAAACAGCCCGGCATGTTTTTGTTTAGCACGTCACGTGTGCTGGTCAGTTTGGTGTGTGTGTATGTGTGTGTGTGTGAAGAGAAGAGGGAGAGACAGAAAAGAGGAGCGCAATGAGATCAAGTTACACGTGTCCTCGTTCATTCACTGGCTGCAACTAAAAGAGTTCACCCCGAAACTAATATTATTCGGCACTGGAGTAATAAGTAAGTCTCCCTGCAGTCTCTCTAACACAACAAAGAGACAAAGCAGGAAAGGCTTACATATGTAATATTTTTTAGCTGAGGCGATTTGAAGCAAAATACACAATGACACTCAATCAAACATATCTACAATAAGGATCATAGTTACTTACTGAGTTTTACCGCACAGCAATACCACGTGAAGAAAGGACGGATTTTGAAGGAATAATCAGTGTGAGGATAGATCCATTATAGTGCACTGGACAAGTCTGAACATGTTCCGCCCACGCGTGCTTGGCATGCAGGTCTGTACAATTACCAAAGATATAGGCCTAATTTAGACATCGGATCGATAACAATAATCTTAAAACTAGCATTTATCGGCCGATAACGATATGGCCGCCGATATATCGTGCATCCCTAATTATAATATATAATTCATCAACCAATCTGAATCCAGCATTCAGCTGACACTGTATAAAATTCTGACTGCAGATCTGCTGAAAATAAAGTGTGTTTAGTTATTAGGGGTGTAACGATTTATCGTTGTATGATTTATTGCGATGCAAAAATGTCACAATATGCATCGTGACGTTATGACAATTTCATTACGATATGACGTCTGTTTTCTCTTATTAGTTGAGCTGTCTGCACGTGAGCTACGTTCCACCTGCTGTCGCACGTGAGTTCAGATTGCAGCAGCAGTAATGTTAGCAGACCAAGATGAGTGGAGCTGAAATAGAGGATGGCCCATCCTCTCAAAATCAGACGTCTGGCAACATTTCGGTTGTACAGTCATTGCTTTAGACTCGTCCGCTTTATGACACGCATACTGGGTCAAACATAGCCTAAGTTTTAAAGTCTTCACAGTGATTTACATACTTTGCAAAGCGACATGGATACCTTCTAATGGTGCTAAAAGAGTCACATACTGTATTTATAAGGTACAATTCACCCTAAAATATCATTCTGTCTTCATTTAATAATGTATTGGCAGCCGCAAAATCACACATGACGTGAGCTGACCGTGAGCTGTTACTACAGAGGCCGGACTATGATAGACGTGCGCGATTCAGTGAACAGAACCTGCAGGTTGTGACTATCATTCAGCATTCAACACTGTGACTAACATTCAACATTCAGTTTGTGGAACAGAGTGATCATTCAGGAGCCGCGTGGGAAGTATGAACAGCAGTGGAAATGAAACGAAAGCGTGCACATTATTTAAATAATCATATCGCATTTTAGAGTTATGATTACGACGAGCATGAACTCTTTTGAGTACAGAGGTACACAAAAATGCACGTCAACATGATACACTTGATAGCGCCGACATCACCGACGCCGAAGATATAGTAAACCTGCCTAAACAGCTGAAAAAAGCCACGACTGTCCTGTGTATGCCCATTATGAAGACAGCCATCCATAAAAACCTCTCAGACAGATACACATAAGTTCAGGATTATTTTATAGAACTGCTGATTACCTGGAAATGTAGATTTATTTATTTATTTTTTGCACACACAAAAAACGCAAGTGACCAAGCAAAGCCTTAAGCTCTTACTGTTAAATTCAATTGAATTGAATCATTTCAATAATATTTTATAAGAAGTTTTTAAATTGTTTTATTTTCAAGAGACAGTCCTGTTTAATTTCTTTTCTTAAAGGAGGTTCAGTTTAACAAGTTGAAACAAAAGAAATACATAAAAAATAGTTTACTTGGTAATTACATTTTTTTTTTATAAAATTTGCATTTCAGTTTAATTTTCAATTTTTATTCCAAATATCGTGATACATATAGAATTGTGAACATTATATCGTGATACACATTGTATCGTGAGCTGAGTGTATCGTTACACCCCTATTAGTTATTATTTACTGACTGAATGTCAATCTGTGTGTGTTTACAGTCTGGATCATGGAGGAGAGACAAGGATTACATCAGGACCACGCAAATGTATGACTACACACACACACACACCAGAAATCCCAAGTTGGGAAAAGTCATTTCCGAGTGGGTTCATTTGCGGGAGGTAGGGAGTGGGTGCCTGAAGAGCGGGGGGTTGAGTAAGCAATAGCACATTTCCGCTGTTGGGCCAGTGCGAGCCAGGGCTTTAATCGGGCCGGGCCAATCGCCCGGGAGGTTGAGCAGTGAGGCCGAAATCATGTCGCGTTTCCACTTTCGGGCTAGTAGCTTGCAGTGCTTAACGCAAACCCAGCCCCCAGAACGTCCCCTGAATCAAACGTCACACAACCCGCCCACTTCAGCGGGAATCAGGGAGATAAAGCACACCATTGCATCATCAGGTGCGCATTAAAATAAAGACAACCGAAACAAACAAATGACCCGTTACTGTACATTATATGTCTATATATATGGTTCTGTGTGTTCTCATTCATCATATTCAGGTACTCACTGACCGACTGTTGGCATCTAAATTCAAGTGGTCTCCATTAACAACTCGGTAGAAAATGTATTTTATAACATCCTCATTTAGAAAGACGCAGTCAAACATTCAGCCCAAATGCTCCGGAGAGACCTGAAACATATTCATTTTTTCTTATATGACACTTAGATGTTGCATATTATTCTGTGATCTTAAGGAAAGTGTTAAGTATTTCAGCACATAAGAGCAAGTAATAAAATATAGCCTATATTTCGTTGCGCTCAGCAGCTTTTCACTAATAAAACTCTTGTAAATTTAATTTTTCAATTTTAACACGTCATATAAAAACATCAACACTTGTTTGAGGAAACAGAACACATTTGTATGTGCAGTTTTCCCTAATGCATGTTTTAAACGGCGCTGCACAGGACAGAAAAAAAGGCAGCCTAGTTTCTGCTTTCACTCACCCAATAATGCTCTGTTTGCACGATTTGATTAATATCATAGTATCCAAATACTTTATAAATTATATCTCATACCTCCACCGGTGTTTGTTGTTTTTAGAAAATATCTAAAATCTTTTTTTTTTTTCTCTGAGAGGCCTTTGTAAAATGAAAGTTTAATATGGCTTTAAAACTGTTTGATTTATGTAGACTATATACCTGAATTGTTATAGCTATAGCTTTTGCTTGTTTTATATTGGTTTATTCATTTAATGTGATTATATTATATCCGATATTTGTAATTCTTTAAATTATATTTCAATATAGCTTAGGCTATTTTATCAAGATATGACACTGTTGTGTTGAGCCTACAAAAAGTGGACACATAATTTGTAAAGTTGTTCATATTGTGTATTATCTCCAAAATAGCCTAAATAAAGAAAAGAAAAAAAGCCGCTCACGGGATCAACAGAGCTGTGAAGGGAGCGCTCTTTTGCTCGGTCTCACACATATACAGGCATCTCTCAAAAAACCTTTACTGTCTGCTGTGTCTTTTAATATAGTGTAAAGATTATTATGCGTTATTGAAACATCAAGGGGGATGCAGCAAAGTCACTTATAAATAGGGATGCACCGAATATTTGGCAACCGAAATTATTCGGCCGAAAACAGTCAAAAAAGCCCTTTCGGTGTTCGGCCGAATAAGCAAAAAGGCCGAATAAATTTTGCCGAACAATGACGTTTTTAATGACGTGATCAAATAGTAACCCGCGTAGAGTGAGAGGCGCGCGCTTTATGCAGCAAACATGTCAGCAGTGTGGAAGCACTTTAAAGTGTAAGAGAAAGAGGCAAAAACGGCCATTTGCAGACACTGTTCTGCTGAATTGTCCAGAGGAACGTTCTCTGTCTTCTCGCCCCCTTTGAGCAGATAACAAGAGAGATAAGCTCATCTGTGGCAGACGTCATACATTTACTTGCAGCACTAAAGCGTCTTTTAAACAAACCAGTAGGATCGCGGAGTGAAAACAGCTAAAAGTGCGCTCTTAGAAGCTGTCAGGGCACGATTTAGTCAGGCGGACTCAGAACACCTGTACTTCATCGCGACTGTGCTTGATCCGCGATATAAAAGATCATTAATACTTGGATATGGGCAAAAAGCTGCGCACACGAGAAATGATCCAGGCCGAGTTGGATATGGGAAAGCCGCTAGGTGTTGGAGACGGACGGTCAGGTGATGCACAGCACAGGAGATGAAAACAGCGCAGAGAGTAAACGGGCTCGTACTACGGATAAATAAATTTATTTATTTTAAGTTATATTGTGCTTTGTTTGTATATTATCTGCTGGAATGTTAAAAAATGTTCAGTGTTAAATAAATATTTTTGAAATTGTATTTTTGTTATTTGATTTATTTCTCTGAAAAGCAACACAAAATAGTTAAAAGATAATTTTTACTGTTTAATTATTGTAATGGTGAAAAAATTGGCAAACTAAATGGAAAAAAATGCAAAACACCGCATTCGGTATTCGGCCTTCGGCCTTCGGCCAAGCAATTCATTATTATTCGGTTTCGGCCAAGAATTTCATTTCGGTGCATCCCTACTTACAAATTAAAATTGTATTATTTTATGCAACAGTCTTACATTTAAAACAGAAACATAAGGGCGATTATAAGCAAAAAGACCTCAGCCTATGAGGCAAGATGTTTTCTTTCCCTTATTTATTTATTTGTTAATGTGTTTGGCGCATGTACTCATGTGCGATCGGAAAACTAGTGTAATGACGGCAAGCCATCTTTTCTAGACTCAGGACAAAATTTGCCTCTCCTTTCCCTCCTCCGAAGCCCCAGTTGGCCCAAGGTATTCGGCGGGCCAAAAAAGGCCAGCTGCTGGCTCCAAGATTGCCTCGCTTTGGCCTGATTAGGCTCCGGAAGTGATCGTGGAAAGGCGACTGGCCTCGGCTCACTTGCTTTAAGTACAATGGTGGAAACGCGGCTAATGTATCTGAGTAGGGCAGTGTGCACGCACGACGTACCTGAAGAGCGGTGGGGGTGAGTTGCGCACGACGTACCTGAAGGCAGAATACTGTGGAGAGGGGTGTGCAATGTATTTAAGGGACGTGTGGAAGACACGCAATTTCCAGGAGATTATAGGCTCTTTGAGGTGCGCCTCAAAGACTGCAATGTAAACGAGAGAAGGCGTCTGCAGTTAGAGGAAGGCTCAAAAAAATACATCAGAAGTCGGACACTTCCCCAATATTGCTGTTTTGCCGCCTGGAAACGTCACCAGTGGCGGAGATTGCGTTCGCGTTTTTTATCGCGGACGTATGACCTCATTAAAAAATACTATGGTGATTTATGAAACTACACAAAGATGAGGCATAATGACAAATCAGTCTGATTACCTTTGTATGCATGCATATATGTGTGTATTGGATTGACTTTCATAGACTAGCGTTGCATAAAAATTTCAATACAAAATTTACACAAACATACCAATAGGGAAAATGACAACAAACACAACTTTAAACTAAGAGGGAAATAAAATACAGCACATGCACGTAATGATTTATTAGTAACATTTATTTATATTGTATAGGTCACGTTATATTTTACAAAGATGTGGTTTGTTTTTGTTTTCATGTAAATCTAAATAAATAACCACATGTAATGCTCTTTATAACTTTTTTTTAATTAATGACAAAAATACAAAAAAGGTATTCAACAAAGCCAGGTATAAACCTAAGTAAAACAAGGTAGAGAATAAGGTGTAGTTTGTCAGTCTCATTGAATAATCAGCCAGTCGTTTCCCATTAGGCTTTTGGTGAGCGCAGACTTTGGGGAGCTACTGGTGCGGACTGCTCAATCCGAGGTACCCGACTCACTGTCGCGAGAGTTTTTTGGCGCACATCATCGTGACATAAGAGTGAGGCGAAGGCAACTCGGACACATTTCTAATCGGCATGCATCTTGCGCTGATCACAGTGATCGATTCTGCGCAGATTTTGGCCATCTCAAACGAGCCTATTCATTCATTTACAGGCATCCGGTGTCATGAGAAATTGGGTCTCCCCTGACAATTGGGTCCACCTAGGACCCAATTGGTCCACTGGAGTTGTAATAGGCCTTTTTCACGGCGGGTCGCACGCACATCCGGTTGAGCGATAGTTGCGTATTCATACTTCCGGCCGGAGCAATGGAGTCAGTTTGGTCACGTTTGGATGTCAACAAATGTATATTATTTAATGTAGGATACGAATCTTGAAAACAATACATTGAATAATAAACATGTTCAAACAATTCCAGACTGACCTATTTCAAAAGTATTAACATGTTACACATTTACAGAGTGCATTAGTCAAATGAAGCCTGTTGTCCTTAGATATTCATCCATGTACGTACATATATAGTAAAGGTCCAGGTTCCCTCTCATCAAATATTTATTACATTGCATATTTATTAAACATTTACATATTATAATTGTTTAAACATTTATTATTATATATGTTAGCTCTCTTATATCTCTTAACGGTTTAAAACTAAGAGCATACGCTATGATAATGGTACATTTCGCACGATACCGGCGCCTAATCGATACTTTTAAAACGATACCGGTGCCAAAACGGTGCCTGAATCGTTACTTTTTTAGCCACAAAATGATGGTGGATGACTCTAAACTGTAATTATATTGTTCTATAAAAATGATTTTTAAAAATATTTTTTTTAAGTAAACATCAATTGATATTGTATTACATTAATACATTTCCTTTGATCATTTGTTGGTTTGCATGACTTTAAGATTTGCATTATAAAATTAAATTAGCTTACTATTAACCTGTGGGGGGCGGGCAGGGGCCACGTACTTTTAGGAGCACATTTTAACATATATATCACAAAATACTTAAAACATTATTGCAAGTCATTTGTTTTCATCCATCACTCTGCAGTCTTCATAAACAAGATAAATAAATAACTTAAACTCAAAATAATCTTCCTTGTTCATTTATTTGACAAGTAACATTATACTGGTATAGGAGAACACATTTCTAACATTCAAGTAAATCAAGGCACATTGTTGCACCTGTAAACTTTAACAGGCCTACAGTTGAAGTCAATATATTTTGCCCTGCCATTCATTCACAATAATGTTTCTAAAAATTTTTACATTATTTCCTAAAAAATAATTATTCTGGAGTCATAATAAGTCCTATTTCTTATTGTTTATTTCGTGCATTGATAATGACCAAAACACATTGAAAGACAGTAAAAAGTTGCAATTTTACCCAATAAATGCATTAATAATATCAACTGATTTATATGTAGTCAATCAAATTAACTTAAACGATTAAAAACTGCAACAAACATTTATTTAGGACCGAACTACAAAACTTTTAGTATCAAAAAAAATTTTAGTATCAGTTTTGCTTAAGTTGCACGCTAGTGTTGCAGGAGAGGGGAGGGGTTGCTTTAAGACTTGCTATTTACGGGAGTTGTAGTCCATAACGAAGTGTATTGTGGGTAGTGTAGTTCAACACGCATGCTGGATGATGTGAGCTCGCTGTGTGCTGTGCAGCTGAAGCTGAGGAAGAAAGTTTTACTCGGCTTTGTTTCACTTTATGTTCACTTTATATTTCACCCTAGAGCTGTTCATAACTAGATAGAATAGACATAGAGATAGAAATAGAGATAGATTGATCTCTGCAGCAGCTGCCGGAGAGCTGCACGCTGCAGACGCAGCTGGTGTGAAAGGCAAACGCCTGCGTGCTGCTTCTGCTCTCCATACGCGCTGTTCACTCACTGCTTTCGATTGCGGTCTGAAACAGGCGTCAAAAGCAAATGCCTACGTGCTGCTTCTGCTCGACATACGCGCTGCGCACGCTCTGTTCACGCACTGCTTTTACTTGCGGTGTGAGACAGGCGTAACATCCTTGCCGCAGCACCAAATTTAGGCACCGAAATTCATACGCTGATTTAATACCGGTACGTACTGGTTACCTAGGTAACGGTGTTATAATGCTATTTCGGTACCCAACCCTAATCGTCACCCACCTTCCTAAATAAAAAAGCAATTTTTTGTGGAAAAATGTAAATACTTTATTAAGTTTAGAGTGTGGAGTGATTGATGTCGGTCCACAAGACAATAAACAGCCGCTGTAAATGGTCAATGTTGGCAAAGTTTTCAAAGAGGTAGTGAAAACTATAGCGTATCTGACTACATTGCTCCGGCCGAAGTATGAATACGCAACTATCGCTCAACCGGATGTGCGTACGACCCGCAGTGAAAAAGACCTATAGTTATCTGCTTGTTAAGTGTGACGTCACACGAAGCGGCTTCCGGGTCCAAGCGCTCTATTTAACTCAATGGGGAGATTCATGAAATGGTAATAATAAACGTTTACAAAGCGATTTAATACTTTTTAAAATCACGATCGCAATATAAATGTCCATGCCTAATATCCAATGAAAGTGATAATTTTTTTTATAAATTGTTAAAATTTTGGTATTTGTTATGCAGCAATCCCAGAGTTGTGTACACTATGACTTTATATAAAATTAACTTTATTGTGTGGAATGAATATAAAGTGATCATAAACGAATGATTTCTCATCTCAAATGAATGGCGGCTTGGACCCGGAAACAGTATTACATACGTCACCAACACGTCACCACTTAACAAGCGGATAGTTTTAAGCGCCTGATTAAAAGATTAAAATATACAGCATATATATAAATGCAGTGAAATCTTGTTTTAATGTATGTAATTTAAATAACGTTATAAAAACATAAAACTATCTTAATGTACAACTAAAGGCATGTGTACAGGTTATATTTTAGATAGCCTATGACGTGCTACCACTTATGTAAATATATAATGTTACATATAAATACATAAAAACTTCAAAAAAGCATCATTTAATGTTTACAAACATCTCAAATAGTTTAACTACGCATATCTTTAACTTGTAGTTTGTTACCGATAATAATGTTACTAATATGGTTAGTGCTGTTAAAATGGAAAGACTGAGATTAGAGTATAAAAAGCACCAAATATGATTGTAATGTGGAGAAGTACAACAGGTTTTGATCAGGCATTCAATGCAGATAATCCATTGGGGTCCTAAGCGGACTCAATTGCAGGGTAAACCCGATTTCTCACTACACCGGAAATCTCTATGCATTTGCGGAATACTCATGCAACTTCTGGGAGACTTGGGATGTCTGCACACACACATACAGAGTTTAATGAGTGTTGTTGTGTTATAAATGTGTGTTCTTGTGTTCAGATGCCTGTTTTCTCACACTGGATCCAAACACAGCAAACACTAAACTCATTCTGTCTGAGGAAAACAGAGAGGTGACACATGTGGAAGAGAATCAATTGTATCCTGATCATCCGGACAGATTTGATGATCTTCCTCAGGTGTTGTGCAGAGAGAGTGTGTGTGGACGCTGTTACTGGGAGATTGACTGGAGTGGAGATTATAGTGTGGAAATATCAGTGTCATATAAAAGCATTAGGAGGAAGGGACGAGGTAACGAATGTTGGTATGGATTTAATGATCGGTCCTGGTGTTTGAGCTGCTCTTCCAAGGGGTTTCTTTTTATGCACAATAACAGAAAAACTGGACTCCCAGTAGAGCGGATCAGCAGTAGAATAGGAGTGTTTGTAGATCACTGTGTAGGAACTCTGATCTTCTACAACATCAATAAAGACACAATGAGCCTCATCCACTCAGTCCAGACCACATTCACTGAGCCGCTCTATCCTGGGTTTACTGTTTTTTATTCTGGATCATTAGTAAAACTGTGCTTAAAGAGTGAGGAGAGATTTACCCATGATCCTCTGCTTTGCAGGATCAGTCAGTAACAGTGGGATGTTCTGGACTCTCTCCTGTGTGTATGCGTGTGTGTGTGTGTGTTAAATTTCAAGTGTTGTGGTAATCTTAAGTAAAGTGTTAAAATTATAGAGTTAGTTAAAGGTAAAATAACCCTCTCGGCATTAGAAGCTGATTTGCCTCCTTGTCATACAGAGTAACAGGTCTAGAAAAAGTAGACCTTTCTAGAAAACCCCTGTTTTTGAGAAACTAATCAGAGTGTCTGAAATCTCGCCCTATACCCTCGTTCACCTGGCACTTAAATTAGTCAATTAGTTTAGTCCACTAGACAGAGGGAATGACCACAAATAAGTGAATTCAGACACCTGCTGTTGAACACCTGCTGTTAACAAGCACAATCACTGAAGGAATAAGAAATTGAAGGAAGAAATAAAACTACAGACACAGCCTCACACCAAACCAACTGAATTAAAACAGAGGATTAAACAACTCCATTAAATAATAGCATAAGCAGCTTCACTGATTACAGTTTGACTTCATTTCTGTAAAAATATTTTTTTATTAAAAATATTTAATTTTACCTCACCATCATGAAGTTCAGAGGCTGCTTATTTGAGCTCTTGAAGCTTTACTCTTCTGTCTTAATGATTCACTGACTGTCATATAGCTGTATTTCTAAAACTTATCAGTTATAGCAAGAAATGTCATGAGCAAATATACTGTTTGTGCTTAATTGTGTAGATATAATTTCAAGCATTTAATAAGTTGATTCATAAAAAATGCAAACATATTTGTATTAAAGCTGTATGGGACAATACTACTGGTAGTCTGCTGCTCTTCATAGACGTTTCAACAAACAATTAGAATGCAATTAATAATAATAGTGTCATGCACTAAACCTTCAAGCTCGAGCAGCTTATTATGACACACAGACATCAAGAATCAGCATATAAACCTCAACCCTGGTTGCTAAAAAGAAAAAAAAAAGCTGCATAGTTCATGTCGCAATGCATGCTGGGTGCCAGCATAGTACAAAGCTCCCAGCATGCATTGCAGCATAAATAAATTATGCAGCTTTGTTCTTACAATCTCTTTCTTTTCCTTTATTTTGAGTTCTTTTTGGAAGGTAATGTTTCAGTAGAGTGTTTTGTTTTGCTCTAGGTTGTTTTTTTATTTAATTTTTTTTTTTTTTTGTTACCATTATTGAGATTCAAAGACTAATTGTTCATGTCTGTGTTTTTCATTTATGCTTTATATCAAACATTCTCATTGTAAATGGTGTTTTTAATCCTATTATAAAGTCATTAATTGATAGAATTTACATGGTTTCATTTATAAAAATTGTTTATTTCTCACACGTAATTAATATGATACTGAATTTGAAAGCAAGCAGGAAAGGAAGGCTATGATATCATAAATGACCTCTTCAGACTGACACTTTAATTTTCTTTTGGCTTTTTATACTATATGTATAAATAATGTGATTAACACTAATTATAGCATTCAAATTGAAAGACATTTTATAGCAAGCCGTTGAAGAGCCTAAATAAAGCAGACTCTGTCCTCCATCATGGTGACTTCAAATGAACAACAGAAATTTCATTAAGAGCTTTCGTTCACATGACAGAAATCTAGTCAAAGGTCAGTAATAGGTGAAGCTCCATGATAAGTTGTTTAATGTGATGAGTTTTTTTTAAAGATGTTGAAAAATATTTTTTTTATTGTGTAATTTGCTTTATTTTTATTGATTATTATTTTATTTAGAGTTTTTTTTTTTCTCAGTTGATTTCATCTTTGGTTTTGGCTGTAATTTGTGTTTTTCTGTCCTTCAGTGATTCTGCTTGTTAACAGTTGTTCATCAATAATTCTCAATCCTCCTTTAATTAGACACTTAATCATCTCATTAACTTCATCACTGTCTGAGTGTTCAGCCCTCTGTAGTGAGGACACTAGTGAGGATATTGCTCTGGAATTTAAGGCTTAAATGTGCTCGAATGAAAAATACAGACTATGGGATGTATTTTTAACAGAAATATTCTGGAAACTGTTGAAAACAGCAGATTACTGGCAACCACAGCTGCCGGTATTTTACTGTAAATATTACAGATATTTTAAACTATAAGAGTTTGCTAATTAACACTCTTTAAGTGTTAAAAATTTTAACACTTTTAAAGTGTTATTTTAACACTTTTATAGTGGTTCCCATATAAACACTGAGGGAGTGTTAATTTTAATTCTAAGGTAGTTAAATTTACCAAATATTAAATTTGCAGTGTGAGTTCGATAAAAAATACAGACTGTTGAATGTGTTTTTAACAGAAATATTTTGTAAACTGAATTTATGAATGTTAAACCACAGCTGCCGGTATTTTTCCGGAAAAAAAAAAAGAAAAAAAAAAAAAACAGCTAAACGGTTTTTGTGTCACCATTGTGGAGGATAATAGCGTCTGTGTTCAAGTCCAAGATGAACTGAGAATATTTGATGTTATGCTGCATCTTCTTTTGTTTAAAGGTAACTGTGTAGTTACTAATGCAGTCAAAATCTGTTTGCTAATTGCAATCACACATGAAAACATTATTGCATCTAAAGACTTTACTTTTTTGTGCACTAACCTATGATTTCGTAAACTGAAAATTGTATCAGTTAATGAAATATGGTTATTTTTCGTACATTTATACAGTTCTATAAAGCTTCCATATTTTTCACAGAAATATTCTGGCAACCACAGCAGCTGGTATTTTTTTTTTCAGAAATTTAACAGATATTTTACACAATAAGAGTTTGCTAATTAACACTCTCTTGGTATTGATTATGTTAACACTTTCAAAAGTGTTATTTTTAACACTTATAGTGGTTCCCATATAATCTCAGAGGGAGTGTTATTTTTAACTCTAAGGTAGTTAAATTTACTATCTAAAGTTTGCAGTTGTTGTAAATGAGGGCGATGCCGATCCTCTTGTGCACCACCAGAGGGAGCCATCGCCCGAATTCTAATTCAACTCACGGACTCAAATTCCCATAAGCCCTGCTACCTGGCACTGATTGCGGTCCAGGTGCAGCTCATCAACTCGCGTGTATATATACCGCACTCACGCTCTGGTTCGTTGCGAAGTCTTGATTTGCCTGGCTGTCATTTCTGAGCGTTCCATACTCCCTGCTTCGGACTGATCTGTGTTTCTGACCCTGTGCTTGTTCTACGACTAAGAAAGACATCTGCCTGCCCCTGATCTCCAGCCTGTTATTCTGACCAGTAAGATATCTGCCTGCCTTTGAATTCTTGCCTGTCCCTCGTTCTGTCTCCTGGATTGCTCCTTTGTGTTTGTATATATGTGTGCTTTTAATAAAGCTTGCAAATGGATTCAATGCCTTCTGACTCATCACAACAGAAGACTTCGCCACTACAGAATCCAGCAGCTTTAGCACAAGTCTCTACTGAACTTTCCGCTCAAGCCACTCAGTTAGCCACCCATCATCAACAACTCACCCATTTAACATCTCTCACGGAGGAACTGGTGAGAGCTATGCAACAACTTCGTCATCCGAATCCTGCAGTTACCCCGCCTGCCATCATGACAGCTCCTCAGCCAACGAATGTCTCCAGTGTTCCGGCTACCGTAAGTCCCCGATTAGCTTTTCCTGAAAAGTTTGATGGTTCACCTTCTCGCTGCAAAGGCTTCCTATTACAATGCAAACTATTCGTTAACCAACAACCTGCATTATATCCCACTGATTCTAGTCGGGTGGCTTTTGTATGCAATCTGTTAACGGGGAAAGCGCTGGAATGGGCTACAGCGATATGGAAGGATGAGGAATGTAATTACCCCACGTTTGAAAATTTTCTTAAGCAGTTTTGGGAAGTGTTTGAGCACCCAGCAGAGGGGAGAAGCCCCGGTGAGCAGTTACTTTCTCTTACCCAGGGGTGTAACACAGCTGCAGAATACGCCTTATCATTTCGCACTCTCGCCGCTCAAACTAACTGGGTTGAAGACACACTGAAGACACTATTCAGACGGGGGCTAACAGCCACTCTACAATCTGAATTGGCTTGCCGTGACGAAGGAAAGAAATTGAACGAACTCATTGAACTTACCATCCGTCTTGATCATCTGATTCGCAGCCGTAGAAATCCTCGCACCCAGTTCCACGTTTCAGGCGATACGCCCCCTGATGAACCCATGCAACTGGGTTTCACCCGTCTTACCCATGAGGAGAGAATGCACCGATTGCAAAATCATCTATGCCTGTACTGCGGCCAATCAGGGCACAGGAAATCCACCTGCAGCGTACGACCTCCTACACCAGTTCAATCGGTGAGTCCTTCCCATGTTCCAGCACTTTTCAGTGTACTGATTCCTGTAATTATTAGATTTGGTAAAAGAATGATTAATGCCACTGCTCTTGTCGACTCTGGGTCTGCCGGAAACTTTATATCTAAGAAATTTGCTTTAAGTCACGACCTATCTCTCAGCTCATATGATTCCTGTCTTGCAGTGGAAGCACTAGACGGTCGTCCTGTGGGTGAAGGACGCATCCGTATGATCACGAATAAGCTACAGTTACAAGTTGGTGTTCTACACATTGAAGAAATGCAATTCTACATTATTGATTCAGTTAATCATCCACTGGTGTTGGGACTACCATGGTTAAGGCGACATGATCCTCATATCTCCTGGAGGGACGGACAGATATTGCAGTGGAGTGAGTCATGTATGAAACAGTGCATCCAGCCCATTCACAAGATTCCATTGCGAACCACCAATATGTTGCCTGAACTCATTAATGAACGAATCCCCATTGAGTACCATGACTTACATGAAGCTTTTAGTAAACAAAAAGCTACCCAACTTCCTCCACATCGACCAAGCGTTTGTGCAATTGAATTAATTCCAGGCTCCAGTCCTCCAACAGGTCGAATATTTCCTCTGTCACAACCTGAGCACAAGGCAATGTCTGAATATATCGACGAGGAATTGGCCAAAGGTTTCATTCGACCTTCTACATCTCCTGCTTCAGCTGGATTCTTCTTTGTAAAGAAGAAAGATGGCAGTTTACGTCCCTGTATTGACTACCGAGGGCTCAATGAAATCACCGTAAAATTCCGCTATCCATTACCCCTCGTACCTCCTGCC